AGTTTGTCGAGTGTGGTCAGGTAAATGTCGAGATATCTTCGATCAAAATTCGAAAAAATTGTAAAAATTAGAATGATTGGCGGAGGTGTGGCATTATCAAAAAAGAGGTGTGGAAATATCAATTTCTTTAAAGCTGATAGCATAATCAAAAAAATTGTTTGCCAAACATACTATATATTGTAAAAGTAATGTTGTAAATTTAATTTATTAGTTAAAAGTAATATAATAACAGTGGCGGATTAAAATGAAGTCAAACTAAAATGAAATGTGTGATAATGTAAAATAAACAAGCCACCGAAAAATACAAATTTTTTGGGTGCATTTTTTTTAGCATCTTTTTAGGGCTACAGGTGTAAAATTTATAATAAACAAGTGGATTTTAGAGGGTCAAATAGAAATTCATTTCAATCCGATTTCAATATAATCCGCTGAATTAAAAAAAAAAACATAGTTCAAATTATAATTCCAAACAACCAAGATTTTATATCATCGAAACACTGTATTAGAAATTATAATCAATCCTACGTACGATTATCTGTCAGCGAATATTGACTTCATGCACGGCAAATGGCCAGCATTAAACTAATCGACACAACATGACCGGCATTATAGTTAGTGTTAATGTTAGAGCATGGCGGAATTAGTCGCGTGTGTGCTGTTTCAATATCCAAAATTTTAATCCGGTACAATCACATGATATTCAATAAATACCCGTGATTTTTCTATCCGAATATTCATATCATTCGTAGATGCTAAAACCCGCGAATATTTATTGAATAGCCACAGCGGATATTCAAAGGATCCCAACTCTTATAATATATTTAATTATAAATTTTATGCATCGATTTTACGCTACCTTAAAAATAAAGGTACCGCACTTCTTGCTTATAATCTGGTGGATCGAATTTTCAACAACAAACAGAGACGTCCAAATTTAAAAACAATATCATTTTTAAAAGCTATATACAGTACTGTACATACGGTTGTATACTAAAGTTTTAATACTTAATTAGATATGGTTAATTGATTTGAGATTTCAATTAATATGATAAATTATAAAGGTGTAATATATGACATGATAATATGAGCTTGTATGAGACCGCACCGGTCAGCCATAAAATTGTGTAAGTTACAGTATAGATAAATAAAAAAAAAAATCAAATTTATATAAATGATTCATTATAAAGAATGGAAGATGGTTGTACTTAGTAATCAATATTACTAATTAATTTACTAAATCCAATGGATTTTGAAACTATAAAAAATTAGAAATTAGTATTATTAGTATTATTTATTTCTTGGGAGCTTAAAAATTACAACAGAGATTCCCGATGGTCATAGGATACAGATGGCCCGAAGGGCCATCTGCATTATATGATCATCGTGGAATCCTCTCTGTTGTAATTTTAAACTCCTCACAGGAAATAAATGTATAATCCCCTGCCTTACGTTATTCGTGACCACCTTCATTATAGTTTTCACGTGACCGGGAATCTTCCCACGAAAGATTCCCGGGCATGCGGGAAATTATAATGAAGGTGGTCATGAATAACAAATAGTAAGGCAGGGGATTATATCTTAAATATTTGAATCAAATAAATGATATTATAAATAAATTATTACCTTTACAAAGAGATCTAAGAGTTGATTCACGGAACATTTTCATAGAATTTGATGCATTTACTGATTTTGTGCTTGTGGTATTAAAAAGTCTACTTGTATAAATTGCTTCAGAATGTAATTTGTAAGAAGGTAATGTTGATGTCGGTAAAATAAATTTATCAAAAGCTGAACTCATTAACCATTTATTGAGAATAGTAAATAATTGTTTAGATGTTGGTCTTTTTTTGGGATTAGCATCCCAACATTCCTTAATTAATCTAGCCATTATTTTTGGTACTTTTGATGGAATTTTTGGACGTAAACCTCGACAAATTTGTAATGCAAGATCCCTATCATGTGGAATTTTATAATATGGTGGATAACCAGTTATTAATTCCCATGCTACAATACCAAAAGAGTATACATCTGACGCCATAGTATATTCCTCTCCACACAAAACTTCTGGCGCAACATAAGGTAAAACTCCAAATATTTTTTTAGTTTTTGATTTTTGATTTATTTGTTTGCATAAACCAAAATCTGAAATACTTAAAAATCCATTAATAAGTAAAAGATTTCCTGGATGAAAATCTTGATGAACTAAATTTTTCTCATGTAAATTATAAAGTCCTTTACTAATTGACCATAATATCTGACCTTTTTTATATGCATCCATGATATTTTCATTCATATATGCGCGAAGACTACCTGATGTTGCATATTCCATTACTATCATATAATTATGTGTTTTAGAATCTTGAGTAATACCTAAACATCTAATAAAATGTGGATCATCAACTACCTGAATATTTGATTCGATTTCATTCAAAAGATCCGAAATTGGATCTATTGAATTATTTATTGTTTTTAATGCTACACTCTGAAATCCTACACGAATCCACTTTTGATCATTTATATCCCAATCTCTAATTTGTCCATCTTGCCAAATAGCCGAATATACAGACCCAAATCCTCCTTTTGTCATATATTTTACAAGACGTAATCTATTAAATGGAATCCATTCAATGACTTTATATGGTCTATCTGCTGTAAGTTGTAATTTTTGAATAAAGCCATCTATTTTGGTATTATTACTGGTCCAATTTTTAAAATTATTTTGAAAACGGCTTGAATTACATGGCTGACACCATTTTGGTGATATAACATGTATTTCTGCACAAGGTTGATTACATTCATCACATACTTTTGTATCGTATCCTGCTGCTTCTGTACTAGTGAGAAATTCAACATCAAGATCCCAATATTCACATTTTTCTACATCACAACCCCAATATAAATCATCATCCATATTCCAATCTGTGCAAAGATGATAATTATATAAGTCCATTCTATTTGGATCTATATTGCACTCAAAATAATCCAATCCAAAAAAATCATATGGATGTATTTCTAATGCTTTTTCAAGAAATGTAAAAGCTTCTTCATATTTTCCCATATTATAATAAGTTGCTCCTTTAGTAACTAATGCCCATGCATCGTTTGGATGCTTTATTTGAATCTTCAAGTGCTTCTTCATATTTATTTAACACTCGATAAATTTCTCCTCGACGTTTTAAAGCATCAATTTCATTTGGATTTATTGCTAATGATCTGTTTATATCTTCAAGTGCTTCATCATATTTATCCAAGAATCGATAGATTTCACCTCGTTCAAATAATACAAATGCATTGTTAAAGTCAATTTCTATTAGTTTGTTTAAAATTTCTAATGTTTTGTTATATTCTGCAATTGATTCATCATATTTATTCATTGTATAATAAATAAAACCTCTACATCTGAATGCATCAAAGTCATTTGGACAATTTTTTAAAAATTTGTTTAAATTGACAAGTGATTTTTCCATATTATCCATATAATAATAAATTTTTCCTTGATCAAATAATGTAAATATATAATTTGGTTCTATTTCTTGTAATTTTTTTAAATCTGCAAGCGATTCTTCGTATTTATACAACATATAATAAGTTTTTCCACGATGTCTCAATGCGAATACATTATTTGGACTAATTTTTAATGATTCATTTAAATCTACAAGTGATTCTTCATATTTATCCAAACATCGATATATTGATCCTCTGATTCTTAAGGCAAATGAATTTTTTTGTTCAATTTTTAGTATTAGGTTTAAATCTTTAAGAGCTTCATCATTTTTACCCATCATATAAAAGGTTTCACCACGAATTTTCAAAGCATCTATGTTATTTGGTTCAATTTTTAATGATTTATTTAAATTTACAAGCGCTTCATAATATTTTCCATTTTTAAGATAAATTTCTCCATTGTCTCCTAATTCCCATTTATTACTGGGATTGATATCAAATGGGGTTTTGAAATATACAAGCCATTCTTCACATTTTCCCAATACACGACAAGTAGCCCCACAATTTCTCAAGGTAAATACATCATTTGGTTCAATTTCTAATAATTTAGTATAATTTGAAAACGCCTGTTCATATTTATTGATCATACTATCAATTTCTTTATTATTTGTTATTATAAATGCATTATTTGATTCAATCTCTAATGATTTATTGAAATCGGCTGATGCTTCATCATATTTACCTAACTTATAAAAAACTTTTCCACGATTTCGTAATGCAAATGTATTGTTTGTTTCAATTTTCAATGATTTATTTAAATCTATAAGAGATTCTTTATAATTTCCTATTGCACAATAAATTGCACCACGTTGTCTTAACGCATTTGCATTTTTTGAATTAGTATTTAATAATCTATTCAAATCTGCAAGTAAATCTTCGTATGCTTCCATTTCTCAAAATAGCTTAATGAATATTGTATGGTAATTTGAAAAATGAAATATAAAAGAATGTGTTGGAGATAAAGAATTATTTTAAAAAAGAGAGAGAAATATCAATATAAAAGAATGTGTTGGAAATAAGGAGATTACTAAAAAATAGGAAAGAACGTAGTTGATGGAAAATATTTGGGTGGGTTTAAAGCAAAAGGAATTTTTTACGACTAGTAAAAATTCGAATCTAAAGAACGTGGATCAAATTATTGTAATAAATCAATAATTTGCTCAATTTGTTCGTAAAATCTATAGAATCCCAAAATTTCCAATAATGTCAAAGCAAAAAAAGATATAAAAAACGTCGTGATTTAAAAAAATATATTTTTAAGTACAACCTTAACTCATTGAGTCGATAATTCGTGTATAATTAAATGTCCGACAGAAGTATTACAAACCAGGGTTTCAAATTGGCTTGCAATAAAAAAATTTTGTGTATGTAAATATTCATAATAAAATTACTTCTTAAACATTGATTACAACACAAGCCTAGCATCACCCTAAATATCAGATATAATTCTCATTTGTTTTGTATGACGATACATTTTGTGATTAGGGATGGTAAAAAAAACAGCTTAAAAGTATTTTTGTTTTTTAACTGAAGCACAAAAACGGGTTAAACCATTGGCAGCTAAGTTTAAAACTGAAATAATTGTTTTTGATTGGTTAATTTCTGTAACGGAAAACATAATATCGTTCCGAGAAACATTCATACGGAAAAAAAAATTCTTTTATTAAACTAACATATTTCTGTATTTATTAAAAGTATTTAATTATAAAGATCTTAATTCAAATTTAATAATCTAAAGTAAGAAATATTGAAATTTGAAAGAATTATAGGTTTTATTTTGATATTTTAGTCGACTACAAATCATCTATTTGTTATATCGGCCATTTTATAATTAGAAATCCTTCAATTAATCAAGAAAATCAATTTTGAATGATATTGAGGTCAAATACGAAGCAATCGAAGTGAAATAATATTTCATGAGAAATATATTATTTACTTCATTTCATTATAAGAATTATTTTTTCCGCAATAATTATAAAAAACATCGTATCTTAAACATATAGCATAATAACAGAATAATATAAAAATTCATAAAATTGGCTTTCTAATTTTTATACGTATTATGTAATAAGATTGGTATTTACAAGTGTACTATACTCTATGTTCGTTGTAGACTGATATACTCATCGAAAGATTATTTATACCTAACCCAAAATTTCGAATTTTTTTTTGTTATATGAAAAAAAATTTCACGTTTACATGTGATCCTACAAATGATTCACCTAACATCTGATATCGATATTGTTAAATGTTAACAACTCCCTCTCGTTATCACATTTCATCAACATTGTGAAGTTTGAAATATACTGTGATATAGACTACAATCCAATATAGCGGTATTTTGAACTCTCGGCGTACACATTCTAATATAAAATGGTATAACTCGATAACGACATTTTGAAATTTTTTATTAATGTCTCGGTAACCTGAATTGTCGTGTAATGAATTTACTACGTAACAAAATTTTTTTCATGTCGACGTGAATTTCAATTAATAAGCACGATACTTCACTAATTAAAATATATATCATAACATATAGCTTTATAATAATGAAAATATTAATACATGAACGTTGAAAGATACTGTAATTATACGTTAAAGGGCTCGTCATTTCGAATTTTTAGATATCGGATTAGAATTTAATAATTTTTGAATGAAGCAGAAATGATTGATTTTAGTAAGGTTCTTCTATTTTTATTAACTTCTGGAAACTGATGAAATATATGTAATTTAAGAAATATAGTAATACTAGCGTATATTTCTTTTCAATACATCGTTACTATCTAATAAAAGACTTTTCCTTCTATCGTGTGCTGTACGACAAAAAAAAGTTGAGAATTTTCCAAAAGTGGCAAAATAATCTAGAAAACGAATAATAAATAATTCACATATAATTAATATAATTATTAGATTAACTTTTAACAATTAAAAAATTTTTTCAAAAAAATATTTATAAATCCTATCTAGATTCTTACAAACATTTTACGAATTAATTCACTTGAGATTGATGAGATTGAATTCGCAAACGTCCAGAGTTCCTGAATGAAACAATCGGATAAAGTTTCGATGGAAGATTAGTCCAATTTACTGGTGGATGTCTTTTGCCGTTAACTGAGAATGCACATGTTCGTTGGTCCATATCAACGTGCACTGTTATCGTATCTCCAACATTAAATTCACTTCCATATCGGCTAAAAATTCCATTATTCCAACAAGTTCCTTGACGATTAAATACCCATGCGTTTACTGAATTTCCCACAAATGTGTTAAATTCACAATATTCATCACAAATTCCGATGTAACAATTTGATGCGTCCCCAATTTCTTCTATTATAACTTCCCATTCATGTTCTCCACTTTCTGTAATAATATATTGACTTCTTGCACTTTGATATATCATCATTTCAGGTTTATTTACCACTGATGAAACTTCTGAATAATCTTCATTAAATATAAGTTGCTTTCCACTAGATGCACTATCAAATTTAAAAGGGTTTGTTGTTATTCCATTTATATCCTTAAATATTAATCTTTTATTCGCTTTAAAAGTATATGCTTCTCTCAATATTTCTTCTGGTACGATCTTTAATGGTTGAATTATTTCTTTAATAATTTTATTATCTATATGATTCCAATTTATAAATTTAAGCAATGGTGTAATTTGCTTTGTAATACTTGAACTAAATTTATTCAATTCATTAGTTTCATCATGATTTCCAACTTCGGATTTTTTAAAATTTTCCAATTTAAGTATTCTTGATTCAAAAACTTCTTGTGCTTCTTTGGAATTCATATTTGCAGCGTGAAGTATTACGTAACGTAACACATGATATTCTTGTGTTAAAAATTGAACTTTTCTATCATATCTAGCTGAGAGTAAACAATATAATGCTTGAATTGATAAACGTTCAAATGTAATTGAATCCAAAGGAATTTTTGCAATAATCTCAATTAAAATATTAATGAGAACTCCATGTGCTAATGTATCTGAGGAACGAACTGCTTCTGTTAATAAATTTGGTGCTAGTTGCTTATTTTTGTTAGCGTAGTACTTGATAAATTTAATAATATTATCTTGTAAAGTTGATAGTTGAAGAAAATCGGCTGCGCGATAAATCTCTATTGCTTCTTCAAATGTCAAGGAATCATTCGTAATAGATGATGTATATATAAATTCTAACACAAATAAAAAAGCTTTAGAGTTGATATTAGGAAATTTTACACGTTTTTCATGTGTTTCTTTCATTCCATTGTAAAGCATTCCATCGAGAACTTTAGATCTTGCTGCTAATATCGCTCTAGATCCAAAAAGAATCACTCCATCTTTACAAACTATCTCTAAATCACTGTAAAGTTGATTATTGATCAAAAATTTCAGTTCTTTGGCAAGTTCTTGAAGTGGTGTTTCCTTTATCATCTTGTGTAAGGTATAATAATATTCTCTAA